CAACTCAAAGGACAGCTCTTCCATTATGCCAGCACAGCTGTCAGGGTGACCATGCTTTTAACCACACCAGGAACTCGCCCAGCTCAAACCAAACAAAATCAGAACAAAACCATGAAAAATTTGTCTGTCTTTCTGTTAAACTTCCCTTCCCTGTGCTCCCGGTTGTACCCTCCTGTTATTTGCCCAGGGCCAGTTCTGCCACACCCTCACTGTGCGACAAGCTGAACCAATGCAATAGAATAGAGGGGGAAATAAAAAGGATTTATTTCTTCTGAACCGAGCTGAATTGGCTGGTCAGGCAAGAAACACATCTGGCACAATGCAGGGTGGCAGAAGCAGGGAAACTGAGGAGGAGGAGGAATTGAGAAGGGCGATGAGACAGGATAACACCCAAGGATGAGATGGTGACAAACGCTTAATTCAGCTCAGGTATATCATGAAACTATACCCTCACTATCTTGGGAAATCTAAACCCATTTCTCATATGAATAAAGTTGCCTTGGATCACAAAGCCAAGCGAAACACCTGTCTCTTTTACCATCTACGAAATGGGGACAATAGGTACCAATATCATCTAGTCTTACTTAATCTAAATACATCTTTAAAAATGATGCTTCAAAAGCACAGACAAGTGTTAAAATAAAAAAAAAATTAATCCATAAAATCAAACCAAGTCACCCTCAACTAGAAAGCAAAGTCCCTGCTCCCTAGACAAGCTTTCAACTGTTGAATTATTCATTTTTTTAGAGCAGAATTTACAGTTATTTTAATTTAATCTTTGGATAAAGCACATACTTAAAAAACAACACTCAACTCTCCCTGTCCCCAGTCTTTAATAACAAAAGTGCCTTAAAACGGGTATACACTCACTGATTCTGCTGCCAATCTTAGATGGGTTTTCTCTGCCTGAAAAAGAAGATAAACCTCAACTCCAACATATGATTAGAGGAGAAGCACAAATCACCTAAAAAAAAAAAAAAAAAAAAAAAAAAAAAAAGAGACAAGACAACACAGCTTCATTAAAAAAAAAAAGAGAAACCCTAAGGGAATTTTCAGTTTTGTAGTTCTAATGAGAGAGGTTGAAAAGAAGTAGTAAAGCAGAGAAAAGAAAAAAAAAATTATCTGTGGGACAAGACATAACGAAGACAAACACAAAACTGAACCAGAAACAGACTTTCAAGTTTAACCTCAGGTTTTCCCAGAAAGGACTGTTGTAGTCTTAGCTCTGCTCCCAAAGGAGGGTGAGCCACACGACCACATCACTACACACAAAACTCAGCACATTTCATGAGCAGGAGGCTCAAGAAGAGAACAGGTCAAGGTTGATCTCAGTAGCACAGCAGCAAGAGGGAGCTTGCACTGCAGCTGTCTGAACCACACCTAGTCTGCAGTTAAATATAGAACTTTACTTTCTGGAACTACTGCTCCTCTTAACCTTCAGAGCATAAATATTCAGAGAGATATTAAAAAAAAAATAGAAAGGAGAAAAGAGACCTGAATCTATTGTCCGAAATCTAAGCCCAGCGACTAATAAAACTACTCTGGGAGAATTTCCAAAAAAGCAGTAAAGACTGGAGAATTGAATTACAGAAACCGCAAGCAGCATTCTGGAAATCCAGTATAAACCAATTAGTTTCTTTAATACACATACCCTGTATACAGACACTTATGTACATTAGACAGTTAAGTAGATGTGCTAACTCTAGTCTTAATTCTATCAGGTAGGCACCAATATAATAATTAATTGCACTGGAATTTTTTATTATTTAAATTTTTTAAAAAAGAAAAACTAGCCCTTCAACCCTCACCCTTTTCATTCAGTTCTTGGGTCAAATCCTGACTGGTGCTGTGCATTTTCAGTTGGAGAGTCTGCTCCTAGAATCAAATCTCTAATTTTTGCAATCAAATTCTGATTCTTTCCTTGAAGTGCTCTCAGCTGCTTTGACACACCGACTTTTAGCAACTGCACTTCTTACCAACTGGATCCAAGTCAAAAGCAGGTACCGCAGTCCAAGACTTTGAACCTCACTCAAAAAATGTTTATACAGCTTCACAGCAACATTTCAGAAATTTACAGGAAGAAGTAGCTCTGCATTACCTACCCAAGAGTTCCCATTAAAGTCTAGATTCAACCCTCCTATCTTCAGGCATTGAACCAAAGCACCAAAGTTAGCTCTAACTGCAGAAGGCTCCTCTTTTGTAGCCAGACAGAAAGGTGCATATAGTCCTCCTGAGTTGCATCAGTGAGAGGGAACTGTCTTCTCAATCTCTGTTTCTCATTGCTGAACAGCTAGAAGCCCAGATGAACAAGCGCTTTACTGAGGTTCTCAAATAAAAAGCTCAAAGCTAGGTGCCTAAACCCCTGCGTGCACCAACAGCCCATCAAGATGCTGCAGGACACATCAACACAACGCAACGAAACCTGCATTTCCTTACGGAACATAGCCCGTTAAACTGAGTCAGGTGTGTCCACCCATAGTCAAAACTTAACCCTACAGAGGAAAATGCAAACAAGCAGATTAATGGCACCAGAGCACATGTGATGCCATTTTAGTGGGACAAATTATTACTCCTGACCCTAAGGCATCAGGTGAACCTGATCTGCTTGGGCTGGACAGCCTGGAGTCTGGCTACCTTCATCCTGCTGCTGGTATGAGCCATGTTACAGACAGGGCTGGAAGACTCCGGTGACTGGTAAGTGAAATTAGTTAGCGGCTTCTTAGGGCTCCCAAGAGGGTGTTTTCCTCCCACTCTTTCAAAACTTGTCCCATAAACAGCTCATCCTTACAGCTCAACTAGGCCTATTAAAGTATAACCGTTAAACCAGCATATTCCCAGCTTGGTTTATGGTGTAGTTCTATTGTCGTACAAAGCTTTTTCCATGGCTTGAGTTCACTGTGTTCTTGCCTCCAGTAAAACTCCTCAGCCATACTTCCCAGTACCCACACACACGGCTGAGAAATTCAGTGCTTGCGGTGACCCAGCAAGAGCTTTGCAAATTAATATTAAAGTCAGGATTAACGCAATGTGGCAGAAGTCTCAATTTACCAGGTAAAGAAGAAGAAAACCCCAGCAGCAAAGATCTTACAGAGTACGAGACAAGACACAGCAAACAAAACCAAGAATGACAAAAAAGAAGAAAAGAGGGTAACGAAAAAAAATTAAATCAAGTGATGATGCATCTGCACACACAACTGGGTGATTCCCAATGTCAACACCGACTTGTCTCTTTCCATATACAAACCCCAAATCATTCCAACAGACACATCCCAAACCATTACAGGTTGTCTGACTTCTTGAAAGTGTCAAGGCAGAGACTGGCTGTAGGACAGAGCCGAAGGAGGAAAGGGTAGTGCTGGCTTGCTTAGCTTTCTCCTTCTGCTCTGTGTTTCCACAGCACCTAGCACAAAGGAGTCGAAGGCGCTATCATGATTCAAACAGCAAACAATCGCAGTTATTGCACTTCAGGCCAGACAGAAACCAAGAAGGAAAACACCCATGCCCAAAGAGCTCTAATTCGACTTCGGAGCAACTAAATATTTCACAGACAGTGGGTTAATGAGGAGATGGTACTGTCCTGAAGGTACGCTGAGCATCTTTGTTGTTCTACATGCTCCAATCAGGACAGTCATCCAAGCATTTTAAAGTGCTGAAGATCCTACACTGCACACTGTACTGCCTGTCAGGAGGGGCACACTGGAAAAACCCCGTCCCCTCTTTCAACCCGTTTCAGGACTTTGCATTAGTTGGGTCTAGCAGAGCAGAATGGATTTCAAACATTGACATTACTTCCTTTGGGGAAACAGCCAGCCAAACCTGAAAACATCAGTGCAGTGCCAGGACAGAATATGGAAACACAGATTTAGCTACTGGTCTCAGCCCTGAAAAGATCCCATGATGGTCTGTGGCCGCAGAGAAGTACGTCCATCTCCTGCATAAAAAGGTTTGGGTCCCTGAGGGAGCTCAGCATTTTGGTCTTTGCTTAGGCAACAGGAGACATCTCCCTGCTCCTAATCAGTCCTAAAGACCCTTGTGTGCAAGCAAGAGGAAAGAGAAGCATCACAGAAAGGGCAAAAGCACATCCAAAAAAGTCTGCTGGCCAAGGACTCAAAGGAGCTGCAAACCAGAGCAGAGCGTAGCACGCACAGAGTCATCTGGTGCTTTCATGGAAAGGAGGTTCTTCATGCTCTCAGAGGGAAGAAAACTCCTCCCAGCCATTTAGCCCTTAACAGAACTAAGCATTCATCCCTAAACTACATTTGAGTTCTCTAGCCCTTTTCTGTTATACACTATTACCCACAAAAGAGACCTTACTGTAAGCAGAGGGAAAGGCAAAGCACCAAGGCAGCCGGGAGACCAGGCTCAGAGCGTGCTTCGTCTCTGCAGGACCGAGAGCTGGGAGCTCTAATGATCACCTGCCACTCTGCATATGTATTTGAAAGATCCTCTTGGCTCTCTACTGTTCCCAGCTCAGGTAAAAGGGTTGTAAGAGCCTCTTTGGACAAGGAATCTACTGCATGTTAGGGAAAGTTCTGCATCCTGAACAATCATAGCGCTGCTGAAATGTCAGTTACCAAGTATGAAATAACATGATGCAAATTAGTAAATAAATCAGTAAATCGGGAAAGGAGAAATGCAGAATGTAAAGAGCATGCAGACCCCCACCAAGACAGAGCCTGGATTAGGCTGGATGGAAAGGTTTCTGCAAAAGCAAAGGAAGAGTTGAACACCAATACTCTTGGACTGTGCTAATGACAAGATGTCTTAGGGGCTACAAAAAATGAGACATTGTCCACAGGAGTATAACACCTTTTTAAACAACAAAAGGGGTGAAAAAGCTCCTCCTACTCTATCGTTGAGAATCAAATGATTACACTGGTATTAACTTGCATGATGCTAAAGCACATCCATGAAAACGAAGCTGGTGTTCACCAGAGCAGGAAAAAGGATACTCGTATTGGCTTTAAAACGCCCATCTCCGTAACCCCCAAGTGACATACCTTTCCATTACAGCCAGGCACTCCTTTCTCCACGTGAACCGACTGCCTCGCCGTAGTCTGAAGGTCCCAGAGGTAGCTGTGACTGGGGGAGGCGTCTGTCTCCATTCTGGCTCTTCTATTGGGATAGGAGCGGGTCTCATGCTTAACGTAGCCCCTAAGAATAAATACTGTGTTTCCTAGTGGATTAGAAATCATGCCCATTTTCTCACTCCTGCTCATGAAAAAAAGACAAGACAGATGATGAAACCATTCAAACTAAAAAAGTAAAACATTATCAAACAAAGACACCTTAAGGATACACAAAACCAGCTTGAGTTCCCATTCCCAACCTCCAAGCCAGAGAGGTATCAGGTGATCATGGAAACCTAAGAGAGACAGAACTGAGCTGAGAGCCACTTAGGAAAAGCTGTCCTGTCTTCATCAAGGGGAAAAGTGTGATACAGAAAGGGTGAGCTATGCCCCAGCTGGGATTTATTTAGGTTGCGCTGCTACCTCTTCTGCCACAAAAAAACCCCACAAAAAACCAAAAAACAAAAACAAAAAACCCCCAAAACCAAAAAAGGGGAAATAGCAGGCTTCTGTTTAATTGTACAGCAGGCTCAGGAAGCAAAATGTAAATTTATACCAAAGGTATTTCACCATGTCCAAAGAGCTGAGTAAGCACTTGAAATAGCTCCACCGATAGAAACACACACTGTGACCTGTGCAACCACAGGCTCCGAAGTGCCAGGTTGCCTGAAAAAGTCACTGAAAGCAGATTAACATCACACCTTTCATCTTCTGTCCCCCTTCTCTGGATATATTTCTCCTTTCAAGAAGCCTGAGCTGGAAAGCATCAGGCAAGAGACAGGACTTGGCACAAAGCCTTCAGGAAAGGCCCTTCAAAACTTACCCCTGATTCTTTCCACAACAGCCTCTCAGTTAATAAATCAAGATAAATCAAGACACACCGTGAGACCGATGTTTCATATATCCCTTGGTAAGGACGGGAACCTGGTACAGGACATTAGTACATAAAACAGGGTAAGTTCTGAAGGACAGCTTTGTGCTCAAGTGACTTTCCCTGGAGGGAAGAAATAGCTGTTCTTGTGTGCAAAAAGTAAAAAAAAAAAAATTAAAAAAAATAGAGTCATGTGAAAAGATAAATCACCACCTATATCCCATATGGATACTGAGCTCAACTGGAATTCATGCACTGAACCAGCCTGGATAGATCCAAGAGAAACAGGCAGCTCTGCTCGCAGGGGAAATCCAGTATTGTGCACACAAAAAAGCAGGGCTGAGCCAGCAAATCCCTCTGGGTCCAGGGACTTGCTCAGAATAGTTAGGATTTAATCATAAAAACGTACTGCGTTAGCGAAACAACACTGCTTGTTTAATTTAAACCAGAGTTAAAGGGTTAAGAGAACTTAGGAGTTTAACCAATAAACAAATCCCTACAGTTCAAAAGCAAGAAATTAGCTACTTATGCACTTGGCTCTGTTCCTTTCCACAAATGCACAATTGAGTATTTTCCTTACTGCCAGGGACTTGCATCTGTGTTAGGTAGTGGAGCCCAAAATAATTTAAAAATTGTACCCAGGAGAAGCCTATAGGAAGCGAAGCCCAGAACCTCTGCCTTGCGTGCACGACAGACAGCGACTCTCACTGATTCCCAGCTAACGAGCCTCCACACATCACTTAGTTTTATTGACACATGAAATATTTCCTATATTGCCCATTTACTGGGAGCCCATTTCAAGGACAATCCTTATCTATTCTTTCTAGTACTTGCACAGTTTAGGGGTCTGGGTCAGTATCAAGTTGCTAGGCTTAAGTACAGTTCAAAAACTCAAAAACCAAAACAAAACAAAATTTAAAAAGAGGCAGGGGAGACCAGGACAAGAAATTAGCTCTCCCTGCATTGTCTCAGCAGTCTGTTTTCCCTATCTGAGGATTTCATTTCACGGGGAGAGTACAGGGCACCTCCACTAAGTTTTCTGGAGATTTTTCAAAAGTCGAAAAAAAATAATTCTGCATTTAAAGCATAAATGTGTTCCTGCTGCTGACACGCTCACTTACTGAATAGAACATGCTTTTTTTTTTGTTTCAGTAGCCTTGCTAGGTCAATTCACCTATTTCTCTTTTCAACGGGATAACATCAATATCAGCAGGAGACGAGAGAGAAGTCTGCCGAGAATTACAAGCGCTGTTTTTGCACACACATAAAGATGGAAGCATCTGAAAGCATGCAGAGGCCCAAAACGTGCTTGGATGTATGCGTGGCAAAAGTGGTGGACGTATGCGCTGCTGCCACATTTGATAAGGTAATTACGGAGCTTTTCTTCATCCCCCTTAATTAAGTGAGCAGTTGAGGATCCCGTTTATTCTGCTGCTCCAACACTCTATTGCAATCTTCTCTCCACCCAGCTCTGCTTCTTTACAACTTAATAAGTTACATCCTAGTTACTAGTTCAGCTTCTTTTTACAAACCCCTCCAACAGCTTTTAAGAAGAAGTGAAACTTCTCTCTTGAGCAGAATGAGCGGAGCAAATGCAGCAGCAGATTTTTACCTTAGTATGTTCATCAAAAAGCAAGACATCTATAAGGGGTAGAGAGGTGAACTGTCTGGGAAGAACTCCTTTCGCTGAGAAAAATGAAAAGCGAGATCTCTCTCTACCTGCCAGTCCCGAGTACCTTTTGCAACAATACAGAATTTTCTTTCTGCACACCAGCGTTTTCTCAGATGTGGGGTACGACTTCGGGGATGCTGCAGGTGGGTTTTGGGGAGAAGAGGCAAGAGCGGTGCTCTCCCACTGGCATGCAGCTCTATCTCTGTACTCAGAATTCCTCATGGCAAAGGCCAGCACATCCCAGACACTATCCTGAAGAAAGAGCATTGCTCGTAAAAGCATCACATGCAATTGCTGATCCACATCACATGCCTCAGAGAGGCCCTGCCGCACAGGGGCGATGCGCGGAGTGGTTGGAGCAAGCCTCCGGCCATCTCCCAGCTCCAAGAAACCCTTTAGTAGCAACTCTTTGCAGCAAGCACCTAACATATTATACTGATAAGAACAGATGTTACACTTTATTTTTAGCCAGCCTGACCTGAGATGACATGATCAACACCTCTCAGTCACTCCTGAACCAGGCTAGATTGGAATCGGCAGCAAAAGGTTCGTTCCTTACATCCTGCTGGATGGAAAGGCTCAGAGCAGACACTATTTTCTCTGCAACTCTGTAAAACAGTAAATCAGCAACAATACATTCCCAGTACAAATCTCACGGGATATCCAGTCTGATTTATTTTTTTTTTTTTAAGCTTTTCTTTTATAGCTAAAAAAGACCTGCTAGGGGAGTACCAGAAGGGATGCTACATCTCGATAATAACTACCTTTCTTCTTTTTCCCTTTTGTTCAAGGAGGAAGAGCACACGGTTTTCTCCAAGGTGACCACAGCTGCCTTCCTATTACAGAAGACTGGCAGAAATAAATATCCAGCCTAAATGGAAGCAGTCTGGAACTTCAACACATTATTTCTAGGTGCCAGCTTCAGTTTCCAGTACACGGAGGCAAAAGACATCCTAAAGTTATTCCATAACAAACTTTCCACACTGCCCAAGACCCAGTGCCAGCCAAACTAATCAGACTAACAACTACCAATGTAAAACGAAAGAAGTTTTATTTATTTAAAACCCACGGGCTCTGAAAAAATAATCAGAACATTATAGGACTCTATGCACTCATATACTGGCTTCTGAAACATATACTATTTATCTGCTGCCAAAACGCTCTCAGTCCTCTACAAAACACAAGAGATGTGGTCCCTGTCCAAAAAAAGCCCAATCTAAATGAAAAGCATCCCTATTAATTGGATTAAAGACCTTTCAAACACTAGCATTTAGCACTGGACTTCTTCCCTTCAACAAAAAACCTGCCTTTCACCCTAACTGGCAACTGTTTCCAGAAAAATTTACCATCACTAGTACACTGGAATTCGCAGCATCGCTATTAACTCCGACATCACTCCTACCAGGAAAACGTTGATCAAGAAATTTTTGAGCAAGATTATTGCATACAGTAGGAAAAGTATTTTTTTTTTCTGATCCATGAGACTTAAGGCTCTTCTGCAACGTTCCAGCCTGCTCTTGTCTGAACACCCACCACCAAAGATAGAAGAAATACAGAAACTGCCCATGCAAACCAGTGATCAAAATGAAACAAATCACAGCCAGCCTGTTCAAGAGGTCAAAAGAAGCTGGCAAATAATGAACGTGAGGGAACTGCTGAGTCCCTTGTGTGTAGGAGCAATATCTTGCAATGTCTCAACAGCAGCGACGTCTCAAACTGCCCTAGGGCTCCACAACACGAAGTTCTCTGGTTAGCAGATGCAGGACTGCCTGTGGATTATTTAAAGCTTTATATAGCACCATTATACAGCAGAAAAAAAAAGAAAAACAAAATATCTTTCGATGTATTTCTAAGTCATCTCTTGTCCCCTATAGTATTAAAAACTCCTGGCTGGGTGCAGTATACAAGCATAGTAAAAACAGAGCCTGCTATGAGGACCTTTCAGGCAAGGCAAACAAATCATGGTCTCATTTTTACCCAGGAGACAGGACAGGGAGGTGCAAAGGTGAAATCATTTGCTAAGAGTCGTACAGGAAAACTTGCAGAGCTAGGGGAAGACTATAGGTCTGCCAAGTGACCTCCAGTCCTTTCCTCACGGAACAACTATTCTTCCTTTACAGTTCATAAATTGATTGGATCTGGTGTCCTCGTCCTTCAAAATTGTTTCAATTTTAAGTGAAAGTTTTCTTTCCACTACTAACCAAATTCAGTCAGCAAATGGACTTAGTCTGAAGATCCCGTTTGCAAAATAAGGAATTTAAGAAACAGGGAAACTAACATTTCCCAAAGACCTCACTTTGCCCGTTGGTAACTCAAATGCGCGGGTGCTTCTGCACAGAGGGACCTGACTGCCACTCAGATGAGAAGGAATGAGACTTTATTCCTAGCAGCTAGACCCGGAAAAGCTGGGCTATATGAGAACAGAGCCAAGTGTCACTTCCGAGTAAGTGAGCCAATGGAAAAAACACATGGCAGTCATTTAAGGTCCTGGTTTTTTTCAGAGGGCAGTCTTTTACGCTCTACAGAGGCTGCATAACTTCTTTGTGAACACGGCAGGAGGCTCTACTGATTTTCTAATTTTCTGACTCTAAAGAAGGCAGCAGAACAGCTAGTCTACTAATATCACAGGATAGTGGATGTAGTAGCCAAAACTTAGGCTCCGAATTGGTCTTATAACAGTAATTTAAACCCAGGATTCTTTGGACGAGGTTGGTACCTTCCTTAATGCACTGTAAACACTTGCAAATAGGCACGTTAATGATCTTTTGGCTGGCCAGTGTGACCTGCAATATAGTAGATGGCAATCATTCCAAGCAGTGGATTATCCGATAAGAAATAACTAAATACAACTACATTTTCCTCAAGGAGACTTTTTCAACAGCTACAGGAAAACTGAGGGTTCCCCCTTTGCCTCAGTCTCTGAAAAGGAACCAATCATTTTGTTTCTAAAGGGAATTTAAGTGCATCCAAGTAGTCTCCTGGCATAGGCAGAGGAGCCACTTTGGCTTTTACATTTCTTGAAAATGCTTATTTGAAAAAAGGTTAAACTCTAACAACCACTCTTCCAACTAATTTTTCCATGTGTGTGTAAAGAAAAGTGAACAAGGCTTCAGCAAGACAGCGCATGAGGAAAGCAGAGGTTAACGTCGATTCATTTCAGTTTAAGCTGTAACCTCCAGCGTTGCTACTCTTCCTTCCTTAGACACGGCTCAAGAGCGAACGGACAAACAAGATGTGAGCTTGTGGGGAGAGAAAGAAGGCTAAGAGGAAGCAGTAAAGATTTTAGCGCTAAGTTTGACCAAGGCTCTCTTATCCCAGTACAGGGTAGTATTTTTTTAACAGCTCTAAATGATGTTGGAAAGAAAAGATGCAAGGCTATAGGAAAGATCCACACAACACTTCTCATCATTAGAAGAGAACTTTCGGGGTTTTTTCCCAGAACACACCTTCCAAAAAACCTCTAGTTCTCTCCACTGTTTTGGAGACAACTCCTTCCATCAGAGACATGGCTGAGAGTTACTCCACAGGGTACAACACACGAGGCTTTCAAAGCAGCTGATACCAAACGGTTGTTTCCAGTAACTTTGCTGAAGCTTAGTATCAAAATTCCAGCCACCACGAAAATCAAGGTGATCCCTGCAGCTTGTCAGCACCTCACACACAGCCCTGGGCACTTTCGTTCTTGAAAGCAGCTTTCTAGATGCTTCATAGAAAGGACAGGCTCCACTGTCACTTCGAACCCTCCCAACTTTAAGCTAAATTATTCTCAGGCCAACTGACAGCTGGTGCCTCTTGATTTTCAGCTTACACAGAGAGCAGAAGTTCTGAGGACCTGTTTTTACTGGAATTGTTCTTAATAGAATTATGGATATTGAAGCCAAGTTCACATTAGAGAACCTGAGTCTTAAATTCCTTAAAACAATGACACAGTTAATTTAATCATGCCATTGTTTAAAGGAAATTAAATGTAAATATTTTGATCTTTACAATAAAACCACTAAAGGGAAAAATAAAAACTGTGGTCAAACAAAATCTATGGAGAAGAACAATAAAAGGAAAATTAATTCAGCAGTGATTTTGAAGATTGCTGGTTAAAGATAATGAGGAGCTTTACTTCTCTTTTTATATTTAAGATCTATTTTGAGATTTGGAGAAGCAGGTGGGATTTGAGAGACACATCTCCGACTTATCACTGTAACTATCCACGAGCTTGAGATCCAACCCCAAACCCTCTCCGCCTCTCTCCGATCCCCAAGTTCCTCTGTACCAAAATGCATATTTTTTGTTGCAACTTTATACTACGCAGCCATTATTACTGTTTTCTATCTGTTCATTCTGAAGAGCCTCGGTATATATTTCATGTTATCTGACTACAGCTTCATGGACTGCTTCTGATCCCCGAGTTGGCTAGCAGTGAGAGGACAGGGCAAGTAACCGCGACCACTGAGCTGCACAGACAGCTCGAGATGAGTCAGCTCTGGGTCACCTGCTGCAAAGCAAAGAGCAGATTTGTTCCTACTCTCCTTAAAATTAAACTGGCCAGAGGGAATACCTCTTCACTACACCAGACCAAGAAGTGAATGAGCAGTGATAATAAAAACCAGTGACAAAAGGCTTCTTTTCCATAAATAAGACAGCAGGAGATGTTTAGGCTGTATTTGTTTACCAGGATTTGTCTTCTCAAGCTGGTACCATCTGTAAAATGCCCTTTTCTTTTGTTCACTCAGGTCCGACCCCTGCTGCAACAACCAATGGGAGATCCGGCTCTGACTGATACCTGTAAAAAACCAGAACAAAAAAAAAAAAAGAAACAGAGAAAGAGGAAGAGAAAACTTGTTCTTTTCAAAACATTTAAAAGCAGTCTATATACTGACAAAAGTGTTGTCTTACCCAGGAACTCATAATTACGTTTCAATCACACAAAAAGCAGAGATTTCAACCTTTCCCACCATCACTAACTTCTTCAACTTCTCCCTGTTGTTATTTTCAGCCTTACTCAAGGTACATGCTGGAATCAGCACAATCAACCTACAAGCAAGTAGGGCACGCACTGGGAAGCCAAATCTACCACTGACTTGAATTGTCCACAGCTTCCTCGGTTCTTAAATTTCTTCGTCTGTGAAATGGGAACAAGTCCCTTACCCACTATTATATATAAATAATGATAGTTAGGAGACCATCATCATTCAATGCTTGAATAAGAAGGGAGACAAACACAGAAACAGTTTATGTGATATAGATCAAATCAGCCCAGAAACGGAGCAAGCCAACTATCAGCAGCTATAACAACAGCCAGAAAAGAAAACAGAAAGGGCAGCTGCCCGCCAGCAAAGTGGGATTCTAGGTATCCAGGCAAGATGAGGGACAAAAAAGGTCCAGAGGTTTTAAAGCAAGGCTTCTAAGAAAACAGTAAAAGGGGGAAAACCCTTAGAAGTCAATGCAGTTATTTCCAAGGCACGACACTCAATGAAGAATCAATACAGAAAGGGAAAAGAAGGAGAGGAAACAAATAAAGCAAGAGGTTTTCAAAAGTGCATCAGGACAACTGTAAGTTCATTTGAAAATCACAGAATCATGGAATGGTTTGGCTTGGAAAGGACCTTAAAGATCATCGAGTTCCAACCCCCCTGCCGCGGGAAGGGAAAATATCACAAGACAGACAGTCTGCAGCAGTACTGCAGGTAGGAGGACTCCCTGTGCTTTCCATAAGGCTCTTCAGCTATCAGAAAGGGTTAACAACATCTAAACTCTCCTGAAAACTGAAGTTTTAGGAGGTGCTCCAAATAACAAAAAAACCTACTGACCACCACCTGTGCCACCACCTGCTTGGTGGTAATACTGAGGCAGGTACGAGGCTGGTTTTTCTACAGAAACCGAACCACCTGTCCCCTCTTGAGATGCGTCAAGGTTTTATAAGATCTCATTATCATACTTAACTCATGAAAAACAACCCCCTGTAGTTTTACCACTTCTAATACGGGGTTTCTACTATGCCTTTTTTTTTGTGTGTGTGTTGAACACTGAATCTAGTTAACTTTAGAATGATTAAACCTGACTCTTGGGTATGATACTCAGTCTAGTTAAAATCACGCAAGCCAGATGCCCGATTGTCAATGAAAAGACCAAGTTTTGAAAATTTGCAGCTTCCCATCTACTACGATGATTTATAAAAGCCATTTCTTTAACACAGTGCTGTGGGACACAAACGCTTGCATCTCACTGCTTTTGGCTGCACGGCTCCTATTAATCAAGGGGTAACAGCACCATTAATTCACTTGTTTACTACAGTCCACTTACCCTTATTGCAGTGAATTAGTGTCTGTCGAGTGTTTGGATAACAACACAAGATATAAATGCAAAGCATTATTAGATAAAAATTATAAATAGAGATTAAGTATCTTCAACAAGAGTCAGATAGCGGAAAATCCAAATTCTGCTCAAGAGGCTGCCTGATACTGTCCTGAAGTGGTACGGATGTCAGCCACCTCAGACAATGTGCTCGAGACAAAGCAAAGGAGCAGGAGCCAAGAGATTCAAGCTGCGCATTGCCATGTCCACGACTGACTCATTGCGAGTCCTCACAGTTTATAAAGTCACTTCTGCAAAATGACTTTCTTGTGGTCATAGGAATTTAGAGGATAACATCTAGAAGACCCGTAAATCACATTTCCTATCTTCTTTTCCACTTTTTATTATTCTCTCTCCTTGTTTCAGAGATCTGTGGTGAGAGCTGAGCTTCTTAAAGGTTTCCTCTACCTGTACCACTCCTCCTCTTTCTAAGATAAAAAATATCTTTCATCTATACATCAGCTTGGTTTAGAGGGCCCCAAACTGTATATTCCAACAGCTTGACCGATTCAAGGTAGCACACAAAGTCCACAGCAGAAGAACTGATCCAGGATCTCCTAGATTCCAGTCCAGTGTCTTAATCCCAAACCCATCCTTCACTCCTTTCTATTAAAAAACCCCAAATTGTCATGTCAGAGTTCCTTGCATCTCAAGTGGGTTTTACCCAGTTGACTCACAGGGACGATGACTAGTACTGCCACCAGTACCATCCTGTCACATTGTCTGTAATCACGCTACTTTAGGAAATTGCACTGGCAGGAAAAAAGAAATCACCCTGCTGCCAGAAGCAGATTAATGAAATAAGTTCTCTGGAGTACTGAAAATCCAGCTGTCTGGAGGAAATTCACTCTCAAACTGAAGCACGGACCTCGAGGAAGACTGCCATCCTCCGAGCTCAGCATCAGCAGGGACACGAACACAGCGTAATGAGCACAACCAGCTTTCCCACAGAAAACACGGAGGAGAGAAGTGGTAACCACAAAGGATTATGGCAATTCAAAAGCTGACTTCTTGTGTCACACGTCACTCCTTCCCATCCCAGGTTACACTTCCTAATCATAAAAAAAATGGAGACTGTACATGTGTGCTCTGCTGGGCAGCCCCACTCTGTCCTACATAAATTATTTGGGGAAAAAGTTTCCCTTTCAAATACATAAAAGTAAACAGCAAAATGCATCATCAAGAGAAGGCAACCGGTATCCACACTACAAATCCGCTCATAACCCTCAAAACTGCTATTCATCAAGTCTTTGGGAACTGGTTTTCACCTTCACAGATAAGACTTGTTCAGCGACTCTACTTTGCATTTCTTTAAAGTTTCTTTCAGGAGAGATTTTTAGAAGCACCTGGAATATGTCAGATTTGGAGAAGAAAGTAACTGACTGCGTTTTAATTCTGCAGTTTGTAAGCAAAGTCCTAGATTCATATAATACATGCCAGCAAAGGACATCTATCAATTTAGGAGATTAGCAAACCTTGTTTACAGAAAACCTGCAAAGATCAAAATCACAGAAAAACAAATCTTTCCCTGTGTTGTCATCAGTATATTAAAAAAAAAAAAAAAAAAAAAAAAAAAAAAAAAAAAAGCCAGGCTGGACAATGGAGGAAAATGTCCCTTCCTCAATTTTCAGAATTCTCTTCACAGTGGAACCAGTTAAGTTTCACTTTGTTTGAATCTGCATTTGCTCAGCATCCCTGTGTGTAGGTTCCAAACCTTGGGGGATTTTATTTGTGTTACAGCAGTGCTTCAAGGCTGCCCTCCACTGTGCTAGATGCTGCGGGTGCTTAGCATAATACAAAGCTAAGTCCTGAAGATCTCATACCAATTAAGACCGAGACAGTAGGAAAGGCCTGAATTGTACAAGCAGAACAATTGGGAAGGTTAGAACACTGGAAAGATCTACTTTTATGTGTTTTATTTATTGTCTGTTTTTTTTTAAATGGTGGTTTAGTTTTAATGGTACTAGCCTAAGAATTGAGAAATCTGAACTCATATTCCTGCTCTGCCACAGACTGCTTCCACTGTGACCTCAGCATAGTAGGGTTTTTTTGGTTCCTTCACTCCCTATGTGCAAAAAATGGAAAAGGTAACATTTCCCATCCTCGCACAGGCATCATCCATCAAAGCGTTCAGCTTGGCTGCAGAGGGCTCACCCACGTGTACTCCCTCCTCTCTCTTTTACTGTAGTACACAACAGAAATACATTAGGTTTCTGAAAACATTTTCCCCACCCTCCACCTAGATTTGGAAGTTAAGAGACAGCATCTCTTCATAAGTTTACATTTATCTTGTTATCTTTTGCCTTCTGATCATAACTTACTTGGTATCCAGATACAATTCTGGTGGCAATTGAATTGCAGCACACGACTTCAAAATTATTTCTGATAAAAATCTGGCATCTCACCTGCCACATATGGGGCTAAGAACCCACCCCCGAGTAAGCTGCAGCTCTGCTAAAAGGAGCTTCAAATAACAAGATAGGAAATTCAGTAGGAACTATTATTAGCTCCTGTTTATACTGTCATTTTTCTTATCAGTAGGAGATTATTTATACAGATCCCAACCCAAGTGCTTCTTGTTTATCTTATTACAGACACCATTTAAAAAGTTTCTATAAAAAGCAGCTCCTGTATTTAGGACCAGCACCAGTAAGTGTTATGCTGGGTTTTTGCTTCTTATCAATCATTCCTTTATTTCCAAGCCACCATTTAATACTCTGTTACTATTTTCCAATCTGCCCTCTTCTCTCAGTACACAAGGCAGCCCTGCAGAATGTCTTCCAGGTTTCATTTTCCCTGTCAGATTCATTATCTAAATGACTTTTAAAGTTTCTGGTAATTTTATAAAGACTAAGAGAGCCTAAAAAATTGTTCTACTGCACCAGCTGACTTTAACCTTCAGCTCCGTGTTCCCCTCTCACATATCCTCTCTCTCCATCGCTTCCCGTCCCTTTGCACTGCAGCAGAAGGAAAAACAAAAGGAAAAACCATTTACTGTTGCAGAGGCTGTAAACCCAAGCCTGCTCAGAGTGCTTTGTACGACTGTGGCTGATGCAGGAACGTGTATTCTGTAAGTGCACTGCAATATCAGAATTAAGATGAGAAAAAGGAGAAACGTATTTCTGAATTAAATCCTAAGTGGCTTGAAGAATTAGCAAAATAAGGTAAAATGGAAGTTTCAACAGGCAGAAGCTGCAGTAGAGGTTCGGGCACCAAGGACAGAAGATGACAGATAAAGAATGGGGGTAAGTATGGTCATAAGCACCGGGGAAACGTTACCGTTTCCGATGAGCTAATCCAAGACCTGCGATTTGCAGACAGCAAATACACTGGCTTAGCTGAACGTCACCACTTGTAGCCAAATTCAAGCCCAGCCGTAATTAAGAAAAGAAAGCAAAGTTTTAGTTTCCTAGCTAAAGGTCTGTCTCTCTGCTCAGATGCACGATTACTCCTTTCCTCTCTCCAGGCTACTCTCCTCTCCCATTACACACACACACACACAACTTTTTAGAGTATTAAAGAAATTGTTAGAGATAGAAAGAAGAAAGTTGACAGCATGGGTAGCCAAGCCAAACAATTCTCTTTCTGGACAGAGCCAGCCATAAAATTTTCATTTCATTTCTTTCTTGCCTCTCGTCTCATAGCAGAAGAGATGAATGCTAAAAGCAGAGGCCACGCTATTCTGCATTTATTTCAAGTGCTAAACAAATGACTTCCAGCTGATGCAGGGTGGTAGCCAGTGGATGGGCAAGTCAAAGATGCCCAGCACCTGCACTGCAGCCTCCAGAAAAGCTGCTATGCTTGGATTACAACAAACGGTGACGGAGGCTGGTGTCTCTGAGGGCTGCTGATCTGTTCTTGCAGAATTGCCCCCTTTCACGCTCTCTCACAGCCTCTTCGTTGCCCAGAACAGGGTTCCACCTTGATGTGCAGTATTGTAAAGACAACCCTGAGACACAGATCACTGGAGGCCAAACAGGATGCTGAAGAGGTATCATCTCACTCTTATGGTCCTCCCCTCCACCATCTGCTACTGACCACTCTTTGGATTTTATTTATTTTTCCTCTCGTTTACCGAAAGATTTACAGAACAGCTTTACCATTAAGGCTGTCTGTAAATACTGAGATTATACCATTTGGGATCATATATTCTGCAAATCATTACCTCTGTCTATACAAACTGCTTTTTCGATGAACGAAAAGTGGTTTCCAGACCCTCCCTGGGAGCCTGTTTTACAGCTGAATGGGAAGGGATGTTGGATACACCTCAAGGATACACAGCTACTCAACTAGCACTCATCAGGCCTCAAACAACTCGGGACGCGAGAGCCCTGGGACAGATGCTTTCTGCTCCGCCTCTCTGTCCCAAGCTATTTTCAGCACTCTTCACTGTACTGTGCTTTTGAAAGAAAGCTGATGTTTCTCCCAGTAGCGCCGAGCACATCCTTTTGATCCCTTCAAGGATCTATTTGAGATTTACTATTTCTTTCAGATAAGCCATAACTACGTCCTTAATAGTGGGGCCCATAAGTACTACACATCTGCTTACACAAGGCTGTGGGTTATATTTAAAATGAATCAGCTCTCGTAGCCCTTCCGACCAAGCCTATGGAGGATAATGCAGCTCAACTGCAAAGGGCAGTGGGAGGAAGAGACTGATGTGTCACAGCACACCATCTCTGCTTGAGAAACTGCATCATGTGCAAAATAGTACTTTGTTTTCCTCTTTGAAAGGTCCATGGAAACGGTACTGGGTCAGCTGCAAAAGGATGTAGCCATTTAACCTTTAGATCTACCTGGTTTCCCATTGATTTGGCTTGAAAAATGAGCCAACACAGTGGCGTTAGTTCAGTCTTTGCTCTGTCCCACTGGCAGGCTAGAAAGGGACATCTAGCGATACCTTCTCTCATCGCTGTATGTGCGCGTTCTGGATTCTCCCCCATGTTGCGCAGCAGGGTTGAGTGGGATGGGTGTGAAACTTAGTCAACTGTGCAAGAAGTGGATGGTATCGTTTACTCACAGGAGGAACAGCCTAACAAAGCCAGTAAAAGCTCCCAAAGGCTAAATGCCAACTTAATGATTCTACGAGCTGAAATCCAAGACAGCAGATTGAGGATGGAAGGAGCAAAATGACAGGTGTGAAGAGACTGGTCTTGACTTTGCTACAGCCTGCCTGCAGGGGTATTGAGACGTGCTCCGAGACACCTGGCTAGCTGAATCAGTTGCTTTTACTGATACGGATTCCGTCTCAGATTTGGCATGGAGATTCTGATCCAACAGCCAGCCCTTCATGCAATAGTCCCACTGACCAAAATGAAAAAAAATAAATACTGACTTGATTTGGAAATACTCTCCTTCTGCAATTTTTTTCTGTTTGCATTACTCCTCTTGAAGGGGAAGCTAGTTTGACTTGCTGGTAGACATGAAGGAGGCAGGAACCTTCAGGCTCAGTCATGGAGTCAGAAGCTTTTCTGGTTTTTGCCCTCATACGAAGCTATACAGAGGTTAATTCAGAGACGGGCTACTCCAGGACTATGTTCAGGCAAGGACTAGGGAAGAGTAGATGAGTGACTAACTACAAAAATTTCACAGTTTGGGTACAATTTAAGCACTAGGCTTAGCATTTAATTTTTGGAGTAGCGCTAGCATCTGATAAGGCTAATAACATTCCCAGAGTTACACAAAATGTTAATCTCATTATTTTACAGATGAAATGGAAACCAGAGAAGGACAAGTAATTTTGCCCAAGATCACAGAGAAGCGTTGGAGACGCGGAAGGAATTCCTGTCTCCAAGGCTCAAACACCCGTTTCTGCCTGCCCACCTCAACCGCCAGCATGTCTGCAAACCCAGATCTCCCAGACAGATGGGTTCTTGTGACATTTCAAATACTGGAAATACCATAAAAGAGCAACCTCCCTCCTGCTGGTTTGGCATTCCTTAGTCATCAAGGAACCTTAAAAACAAGCTATTTCAAGATCTTTATTCAAGCTTGGGTTTAAAAATGAATAAATGTTACAACACGGGATTGAGCTATCTGTATTTTACCATCAAGTCTTCAGCCTAAATACGCTACCAGTTACGCTGTTCCAGAGAGGCAGTGTGAGCCTGTAAAGGAGAACTAACAGCACCCCACCCCATGGAGGAGCAGTAAGACTTTGTTACTTGTGTAAACCTCTGGAAACGCACCCAAGGAAGAAGGGGTATCACTGCAGTCTGTTCACTGGTCCTGAATGTGACCGAGAAAAGGTAGAAGGCAGAGAGCAAGAAGAGAACTACTTCACCTTCTAGGTAAAATCTAAGCTCATATGGTCATCCTCTCAACCTCCCATCTGATTTTCATTAATCGTGACTCAAAGGCAAGTGATCAAAAAACTCCAAACTACCACAGTCTGACTTCTGGATATAGTGATACCAGCTATAGATGTCTCCTGACTTTTCATATACATGTTATAATATAAATACATATTATCTCTCTCTCTCTCCATACATAGAGATGCAGATACACATCTATTTGCTGCACTCAACAAACAATTTAAGAATTAAGGAAAACCATTTTCATTTCAAGATATAAACTTTGGGCTTATTATAATGCTGTAAAATAAAATCTGCTAGCACAAGCCACAAAAAAAGAAAGCAAAAAAAGAAAAAGTGATTCACTGGGGAAGTGCCATGATGTGCGGGACAATGGGTCTTAAATCAAAGGCATACATTATCATGACTAAGCTGACAGATCTGCACTGCAATGCAGAAAGCTAAGCAATATTCCAACATCTGCACCATGCACAGACAGGCAGTTAGACACAGTTCCCCAAAATGAAGAAAGGACTCCTCGAGCTCTTACCTGTTACCTGTGCAACAACTGCTTGGGAAATTCTCCGGTTGGCTAGGAAGGCTTTGATTTCCTCCTTTATCACACTGCTGTCCCTCCTACCAAAACAAAAAAACCAAAAGAACACACAAAAAGACGGACAGACCGAAGTGCACTTTGAAGATGTAAAATGGCTTTATTTCCTTTATTTAGGGGACTAGGAATGGGGAAGGCAGGCATTAAAACAGTCAAAGTGCCTCACCGGTGGACACTTCTTTTAACAAGTGTCACGTTTGATCAAAGTACCCTAGCAGGCGAATGGATGACTCACGTCCTATATAATTCATATTAGGTACAGCACTGCCATATGGAATGTACAAAGTTTCATTACACGGGGATGAATAAATCTCTCATACCAGCATAAAAACCTCAGTCATAAAAATGAGGCACAAAAATAAAAAATAAAGGATAGCAGGGTCTGCATGGTTAGCTACACAAATGAATATACATACACAGACCTTCTCCAGCCTTTCAAAGAAAAGACCCAAAGGAGAAAAGATTTTGCAGCCTCTATCCCCCCACCCCTACCTCCTTAGTCCACAGCTTGCACTGAATGAACAAGTGCCAGTTATTTAAAGCCTTTGTATGACTCTTACAAGGTGTGCAAAGATAGTTCAGAAGGGACTAACACTGTGCTAAAAAGAAAATAACGTGGAGGTTGCACAGGGACTGTGATATGCAGCAAATTTCAATCGCAGTAAACATGTACTTTTCCCTCCTCTTCCTCCCTTCCTCCCTGGAAAGTGCAGACAATTAAAACCAGACTTTATAAGGCTTTATTATTTGGTAATTCCCCTTCCCGTTCTCCCCTCCTGCCCCAGCAGCGTTCAGGGCAGATTCAAGCTTGCAAATGTAAGTGCAAAATAAATCCTATGTTGTGGGTTCATTTTTATTTCTGTACCCAACACTCATCCACCATATGCCTGCAAATAAAAGTAGTTTCAGTTTAAATAAGCACTAAAAGCATTACCTGAGACTCATTGCATAGGAACCTAAAACTCCAAGGAACGATTAAACTTCAGCAATTGAACTCCTGCATACTGCTATACTCACTGCCTTCCTGCATTATTCCATTATCCTGCAGCCGACAACAAATGAGGTTGATCGGCTTTTCTTACTCATCTCTCCCCCAAAAGCCACACCTTTACCCTAAATCTCCAAACTACTTCAAACATATTTTCATCCTGGAGCTCATGGAATCTAGTTCTCTTGTAGATACTCCACAAATGTTGCTATTTCGGGGAAAAAAAGACACTTCAATATTATGACCAAAATTGGCTTGGGACATTTGGCCTTTCCTCTCATTTCTTTTTGCTATCAAGCCCACTGACTCTGACTTTCATCCTCAGTGGCATAATCCCCTCCTTTAATCTTCGCCATAATGCTGAAAAGGAAGCAGCTAAAAGTAAAGGAAGGTCAGTCTGGAAAAAAAACCCTACCACCCAACTGGCTCTTACTGAAGACTTCTGCTTTTCTTTATTATTTGTACTTTCCTCTGCTGATCTGCAGGCTATGCAAATCCCAGAGGGAGTCAGCTCCTGCCACAAACTCTAAACAGATCCCCGCAGAAAGCATTAATTAACCAAGCAGATTCCCTACGCCCACTATATATGGAAGGAAATACAACTGGTATGAAGAGGAGTTGTGAATTGACACTCAGTCAGAAGTCTCCTGAATAAGAGTAGGGTGGAAATTTAGTGCACTAACAAGAATTTCAATATTTGGTGCAGCATGGGAAAACATATTCCAACAGTAAACCAGCCTGTGGGATACCCACACAAGGCTAAGGGAGGTCTACACAAGACTAGAGGCAGGTGAGGAGTACTGAGAGAGTGACCATTAGGGCAGAGCTGTCTAACAGTTCCTGCTTTTTTGGTAATACCTATCACTACCAGCACACTCCTCCAAATTGCAGATTTCTGATGGAATTCTCACTCTGACTTTCCAGACTTTTCACAAAGACTTCTACTAACCTCATGAGTTCCTCCACTTTGTCATCAATGTCCAAGTCCTCTTCAGAAGCTTCAAAACTGTATGACCTTTGAGCCAAGCTGTTTGCAAGTGGGTAGCGGGTAGGTGACATCTTCCCGTTGAAGGCAGACAACCTCTCGTTACTCTCCCTCCCATTCTGATTAGTAGTGCAAGGCTGTGGGGAGGTGTCGTAACTGTTGCTCGGTGATGGGGACATCCCAGAATGCTGGGTCTGTGTTGAAGCTGTGGCTGTAGAGGAAGATGCTGGGACATTGTTGGTACTGTTGCTGTAAGAACCACCTCCGTAGCTAGACCTTCTTCCAAATTTGTCACTATGCTCTTGATCAAGACGATCCAAGGTTTCCAGCGCGTGGAGGATTTCATGTCTGGTCATTCCTGTACGTCTGAGGCGCTGAAGCAGGTCTATCTGCTCTATGGTAAATCTTGGTTCGTCTGTGTAGTGAGACATGGTTTCCAGCAGACTAAAAACAAGGTAAAATGTAAAAGCAAACACTTCAGTTCAATAGTTCTCTGTGCTACATGGGAAGTACTTTACACGCAGGAAAGATCCAATTCTGGTCCAACACTTAAGTCACACACAACAGAGATGGCAGCCCAACAGTCCACCTCCAAACAAGCTCAGCAGGCAACCTCCCGTGAGTGCTAGTCTCACTGTGTGGCAGAAGTGATCATTTTCTTTGAAGAGCTCAAACAGCATTTCTCTCTTCTACCAGCATTCCCTGCACCTTCTACAATAACCACGCAGTTAGTACCCTTCTGCTTTTCATAAACCTCTGCTACACAGAGACAGTGGTTGCTCAGTAATTAAGACTGCAACTTGATTTCAGGCAAAATTTTGCCCATTTCTACGTATCCACCAGACAGAAACCCCAGATTCCAAACCTGTTAGGTCAAGGCTAGAGGCTTGAGTTTTCCTGGAGAAGTTTTAACCAGTTACAACATGAGATTTATGAATCTTAACTCTTTTAAATCTTAAGTACAAAGAGCTCAAGCTGCCCTAACTTTTTGTTGCTACCTTGAAAAAAAAGAAGATAAAAACACACCTAGTGGAAATTCTAGTGGCCTGTAGGACCAAAGTTGATTTAACTGAAGTTCCATTTCTGAAGTTTGGTTTCTGAAGTTAGCAACTTTTGAACTTAGGATGTTGTCACAGATCGCCTGCCCTAACAAGGAAAGTGCAGCACATCCAATTATTAGTGAGCTTTCATTGAAAGAAATAAGTCTACTGCCTTTTCCCCTCCAAAGGCAGGCTTCTTGTGTAACTCAATCATCATGGTGGCTCATCAGCAGTATTTTTAACTTCTAAACTTCCCAAGGTGCCACAACAATGAACATCGTATGTATTTGCAAAGCCCAGAAATTGAACTGAAAAAATAAAAACCAAACCACCACAATATGCTCTGTTAATCTCTTTTCCTTCCCAAGTCTCCTCACGAATGATCCAAATGGCATTCAATTGACAAGATCACCTCCTTCAGAACTCAAGATCTTGAGAAGGTGGCATGGCAGATGGAGGGCAGACAGAACTTGGCAAAGAGATGAAGGCATTTTCCATCCTTCTTGCGAATCTTTTAATGAGTCAAGGGTTTATTACAATTCCTGCAGGAGAGCAGGGTGAAGAGATCACTCAAACTCCAGGAGACATGACAGAGCTAATGTACAATCCCTACGAGCAGGAGTAGACAAACAGCAGTGGCAGGAAAGTCAAGGAAGAATTCCAAGGACCCTGTGAAAACCAAAAGAGGGATGACGGCTATCACGATTATGCTAGACCTTCCAGGGACAAGGCTGCCTATCTCTCTCCACAAATTTTGAAGATCATTCCTCATTTACAATTCTGCACCGGCACAGAGGAAGACCCCAACAGGAGCCATAGAGCGACAAAACTTTTGTCACTTGCTGCTTTTAGTCTTTTTTCAGATACATGAGTCACAGTAAAGCAAACCAAGCCTGTAAGTTTTGGGAGTGTAGCAGGAGGAACATCTCACAACGCAGACCTGCCTAGGCCACAGGAACAGGTCTATCCTCAAGTCAGAGGGTATCGCCATGTCAATACCAATAAATAAAATAGTGCCCAGGGAAGAGGCACCGTAGCATCTCAGTCATCCGCACCATGATTATATCACTGTAATTGCTTTTGGTACAGTTTTGGTCCAGCACAACCAGTGCACTCCTGACCAATTCGTAGGCTTTTTTTCAAGATCTTGCATGGAGCTGAAACCACAAACACTCTGCTTGGATACAGCCACTCGGTCTCAAGGCTAAGAATGTCTGGTAGTGTGGATGTGGCCAAGTGGCCTTGGGGGCTGAAGAACAGCACCGAGAACTGGCTTGCTTAGTAGAGCTGTAGCTAGAGTGCAGCTGTACAGACACGGTGCTACAAAGTCAGGATGCATAAATCCACAAAAATGGGATTTGCAGCCTGGAAAATAGGGAAGTGAGAAGAAGCTCCTATCTTTGGCCTCATCAAGCAAATACTGAGCCCTTTTTGTTGTTTCAACAGTGTGTATGTGGGAGAAGGAAGCAGGAGGACAATGCAAGGGGCTGACTCCCATCCAAGAAAATGACTATGGGAGAAGACGGACGGACTACAGCCGTGTAAGTGCTTCAGTCCAAGAGGAATGTGCTGTCCTCTAGACAATTGATTACTGAAAACGTACAAACCATTTTAAATTTAAGACAAGCACCCAGATTATTCTACTAAAAGGAGGGCACGGTAGCCAATGCAGCAGTAGACTAGCAACTGACTGGAATTGTAACAACCAACATTTGGAAGTCGCATCTCAGACCGAGACATTCAGAGCTTGACAAAGAGCACTTGGGAACAGACACGGTGTTCTAGGTTTGACCTCTGCGCTGGGGGAGGCAGGGCTGCTCAATTCTTTCCTCCAAGCTTTGTGAGAAGCATCACACTAATTCACTGACTGACATCACAACCTTCTGTACAGTCTGAAAGCCCCCACAGCAGCACCAAGGAGCATGGTTTTCAAATCTAAAACCTCTTCTTAAACATCTGGCCTTAAGATGGTTTTCACTAGATAAGCTGGCGTGCCCCTCCTTAAAGATAAATCCATTTTTGTCATTTTTTACCTCTATTTCTAATGTCACTATTTCCTGGGTCATTTTTCTATCAACACCAAGTTTCACGTGCCCAAGTACTTTGTCAAACCGGAGAATCTAATGAACCAGAACCTCCACCCACTCTACTCAAAATTCCTACTTTATTGACTCTTGGATGTTTAATACCAAAACATACTTTAGATTATCTAGCTTAATCTCCAGTTTGTCACAGACCTAGAAACCCAAAACTTTTGTCCTTCCAGCTCCATGAACCAAAAAACTCGCATCTGACAAAAGCGTGACTTTCCAGATGGCTTCAAAAATGTCAAAGCAACACAGAACTTACCATCTCCTGCAGCAGTTTGTTGCCATGGCCAGTCATTCCGTTTAAAATCTGGGTGTGACCCCTAATTTGTCTAATATGTCAGGCCTCACCTTCTAGATCTTAGGCAATTAAACATAATCCTTTAGTGAATCTTAAGTATCCTTTAGTGAATTATTAGTGAATTACACATCATGAACTGCGGTGTTCTTAGATGCAAGAGAAATGGTTCACCTGCTGTCATACATGGCTGTACATGAGAAAGCGATCTGGCCTCCAGCTTGTCCTACTTTGATGCAGCGGGGATCTGCTGTGTGTGTGCAGTAATTCCAATTGCACAGGTATAGAAGGGATGCTGGACAAGATGGTCCGAGGCTGGAGCAGCTCCCGTGCGAGGACAGGCTGAGAGAGTTGGGGGTGTGCAGCCTGGAGAAGAGAAGGCTCCAGGGAGACCTTCCAGCACCTTCCAGTGCTGAAAGGGGGCTACAGGAGAGATGGGGGGGCTCTGGATCAGGGGGTTGAGATGGGATGAGAGGGAACATTTTTAAGCTGAAAGAGGGGACTTTAGATCAGATATTGGGAAGACATTTTTTGGTGTGAGGGTCGTGAGGCAGTGGCCCAGGTTGCCCAGAGAAGCTGTGGATGCCCCATCCCTGGAGGGGTTCAAGGCCAGGCTGGATGAGGCTTTGGGCAACCTGGGCTGGTGGGAGGTGTCCCTGCCCATGGCAGGGGGTGGCACTGGACGATCGTGAAGGTCTCTTCCAACCCAAAACCATTCTATGACAAGGTCATGCTCTGCTGTGAAAGTAAGATATTCAATGGCTTCCAACTTATATTCCAGAGAGTCCTGTTTATCTGTGGACTACTACTAAAAGGCTTGCAGAAAGTAATCTAAGAGCAGCAAGCCTACTATCAGATTAAAGCAATTATACTGTGTTTAATGCAATCATTGGAAAATTCTTGACAGTTTGAAAAAAAAAAACCAAAATCAATGTCAATGATCCCAGCAGTTTGTCTGTCCATGCAAGGTATTCTTCTAGCCCCCCAACCCTTTCAGACAACTTCTGTATAATTCTTCAGTGTTACAGAAGATATAAACACCAAAATTACATACAGTATCTCACTGCTGGTCTCACAAATGTCACATAAAGATATAAAAGCTGCCTTGCTTATACTTCCATAGACAGCATGTATTACATCTGACATACTTCTTATTGGTCTTCTTGATTTTGAACTCCTGATCACCTTTTCATAGAATGACACAAGGGTTTGGGTTGGAAGGAACCTGCCATGGGCAGGGACCCCTCCCACCAGCCCAGGTTGCCCAAATCCTCATCCAGCCTGGCCTTGAACCCCTCCAGGGATGGGGCATCCACAGCTTCTCTGGGCACCCTGGGCCACTGCCTCACCCCCTGCACAGGAAAATATTTCTTCCTCACATCTCATCTCCATCTCCCCTCTTCCAGCTTCAAACCGTTCCCCCTTGTCACATCACTACATGTCCTTGCAAGAAGCCCCTCTTTCTTCATGTGCTTTTCTACATAACCATGAGATCTAGAAACAATGCTTCTGAGTGAGTTTTATGTACTGAAAATAACTGCAGGAACTGGGAATTTTCCATTAAAAACCCAAAACAAATATTGCAAAACTTAGTATTATTGACCAGGTTCCAACATCACCAACTATCTACTGCTTTTTAATGAATAACTACAGTAACATTATTTAGAATTGCTAGTCTAGCAGGGCTTCAGTTATTTCCCTTTTTAAAAATATTTAAATAAGCTTACCCTATTTAAAGATCAATTCATAAAGCAGTTAAGTAAATCAGCCATTTTAGAATCATCATAATTTCATTCACCTCATTAATTAATGGATATTCTCTACGACTTCATCCCCCCCATATTGCTCTAAGAGCCTCTTATCCTCCTGAACTCCTCCAGCTAGCTATAATTTAATTTGCTTCCCCCCTCTTTTTCCTTGTGAAATGCAATCAACTGCAAAAGTAACAAGATGCAAAGTACGACAGGGGCAAGCAGAATGATGGAGGGTGTGCAGGATCAAACAAGATCGCAAACACTT